GGCAATTCTCACTTTATTGTTAGTCAACACATCCTATTTTGAAAATAGAACATACAAGACTTTAAATGAAACATTGATCAATAGTGAAAGACCATCACTGACATATATATCCAATATTAAAACTTCCTTATGTAATTTCTTTCCTTAACCCCTTAAGGACCAAACTTCTGGAATAAAAGGGAATCATGATATGTCACACATGTCACGTGTCCTTAAGGGGTTAAAGGAACACTATAGTGTCAGGAATACAAATGTGTATTCCTAGCATTACAGTGTTAAAAACACTATTTAGTTGGCATCTTCCCACCCCCCTTGCTCCTTTATTCCAGCGATGTGCGAATTTGCTGTGGCTGGCTCTACCCCGCTCCACCTCCTAGGCTGCAATAATGGAAATTGATGATTTTGCCAATCCAATGCTTTCCCATCCTATTGCTAATGCACGCCAAAATGCAGCACTGCATACTATGAGTAACATTCTCAACATGCACCTATACTGACTCAACATGCACCTATACTGACCGTCTAAGTGGCTGCTACTAGAGGTGTTCCTAGGCAGCAACATAAACATTAAAATGTCTGCAGAGAAATACTATACTCACCAGAGCAACTACATTAAGCTGTAGTTGTTCTGATGACTATAGTGTCCCTTTAATGCAAACCTTTATACATTTTGAATTCAAAGTTTATTTGTCTACACAAAACAAATAGCATAACAATACACTTTCTCATCCCTTAAACATGCATAATTTGTTGTTTTCCATAGTAATAATTTGTGATCTTGACACATTGAGTGATATATGATATTTCCAAAATATAGTATTATCTGTCTTTACTTCTAATATCTTCACCTTTGCATATTATAGCAAATAGGCTGGATCTCGGACATTAAATCCTTGTCGCTTCTGAAGCTTTAATATACATTCCTGTATGGTCAGAATTTAAAACACATTGTATACGCTTAAACCAAAAGTAAGATTTAATCTGAGCGATGACCTTTTCACCTGCATTTCTCAATATTACTGAGATTTTTATAGGCATAGTAATTATTGTTCAAACAGCCGAGCATATTTCACACCGCCATTTGGAATACAAGCTCAATGAGATTTCAGGAGAAAACTAATTTCAATCCAGTATTCGAAATTTCTAGTTACGCCATAATTTCTCCAGTATCATCTGTGCAACTGTTTGCTGATATTATGCGTTTTATGTTGAAGACATATTTCATATTTACTATGATTTTATTGCCAGCCATGCTTACGTTTTATTGTCATATAAACAAACAACCCTTGCTATTAATTACACTTATCGTATTTTGAGGCTAATGGATGAAGCAATATAATTATATGTGTACAAACGGTATTAAAGCCAGAAATCCCACAGAGATGTTAGAATAATTTGTGTTATTTAGATTAAGCAGAACTTACCTACAATTTTCCAATGAACATAAAACTGCATTTGTAAAAAATATAAATTAAGAAATGATAAAGCAAACTCTCAGTGGTGGGCTTTGATCCTGGAAGACCCTTGTTTTTTTTACAAACCACTTGAAAATGGCTTGACAAAAACTGGAGAGACTACACCTCCAAGCTGCAGTGGTTATGGTGCTTATTGCATCTATAAAAGATCCAAAAACTGTTCCTTTCATCACATTGCCCACCATAACACTTTCTATTCACAGGGCTAATAACTAAATTGAGAATATAAAGGAAATTTCAAATTTAAGACCAAAATAGCCCAGCTGAAAACATAACTGAATGTTTCCGGATCAGTTATTTTTACCTTGAATTTGAAACTCGCTTTGAATTCATTTTGATTTCCCACATTAGTGGATAACCCTGTTAAGTTTCAAATATCTTACTGATGTATGCACATGGGTCTATAAACTTGAACTACCCCTCCTGCTTACTCATTTATGACATCATCAGCATCCTGTCGTATCCCTCCTGTTTTAGCCTGTATACCACATACGCAACAAAAATGTTGTGGATTTGAGACTCGTGTACTGAGGAAGATAGTACCTAAGCCTTTAAAGGACCACTCTAGGCACACAGACCACTTCAGCTTAATGAAGTGGTCTGGGTGCCAGGTCCAGCTAGGGTTAACCCATTTTTTCATAAACATAGCAGTTTCAGAGAAACTGCTATGTTTATGAATGGGTTAAGCCTTCCCCTATTTCCTCTAGTGGCTGTCTCATTGAAGCCGCTAGAGGCGCTTGCGTGATTCTCACTGTGATTTTTACAGTGAGAGCACGCCAGCGTCCATAGGAAAGCATTGATAATGCTTTCCTATGTGACCGGCTGAATGCGCGCGCAGCTCTTGCCGCGCGTGCGCATTCAGCCCAGGAGGAAGAACGGAGGAGGATCGGAGGAGGTGAGCTCCCCGCCCAGCGCTGGAAAAAGGTAAGTTTTAACCCCTTTCCCCCTTCCAGAGCCGGGCGGGAGGGGGACCCTGAGGGTGGGCGCACCCTCAGGGCACTATAGTGCCAGGAAAACGAGTATGTTTTCCTGGCACTATAGTGGTCCTTTAAAGGATTACAAAAAAGGAATTCTGGTGCAAGGAACTATCATTGTTTCAGATAATTAGACAAGCACTAGGAAAAAATTACTTGTGACACCAGATTTCTCCCAGTCCTACTGATCACCCAGCAGTCCATACACTGTCACCAAATGTTAGGAAGACTGAGGGAAACTACACCGTGAGCTCCTGTTTAAAACAATCTGTTTTCCTGGCACTGCAGGTTCCCTCTCCCTCCCACCCCCCAATCCCCGGTTGTTGAAGGGGTGAAATCCCCTTCAGTAACTTACCTGAGGCAGCTATGTCGCACGTCGCTGCTTCTCCCTCCGCGCCGCTCCTCCTTCTGACTGCGTCGGCCGGTGGATGGTGTTAACTCTAATAGAGTTGGAGTTAACCCTGCAAGGTAATTATTGCAGTTTATTAACCCCTTAAGGACGGAGCCAAATGTACACAGTGTGAACGAAACAAAATGTAAACAAAACTTGGCATTTGCGCTACATGTCTGTCCAACCGTAATACACCTCTTTCATAGTAAATGCACCCACCCTTATTATATATCATTTTATTCAGGGGAAACAGGGCTTTCATTTAATATCAAATATTTAGCTATGAAACATAATTTAATATGAAAAAATGGGAGAAAATAAGATTTTTTTTGATTTTTTTAGTTCTACATGACATTTTAACGGTCAGTGTCATAATACTGTTTGCTTTTACTGCAATAAAATACACATATTTGTATTCAGCAAAGTCTCACGTGTAAAACAGTACCCACTATGTACAGGTTTTATGGCGTTTTGGGAAGTTACAGGGTCAAATATAGCACGTTACATTTGAAATTGAAATTCGCCAGATTGGTTACGTTGCCTTTGAGACTGTATAGTAGCCGGGAATGAAATTTACACCCATAATGGCATACCATTTGCAATAGTAGACAACCCAAGGTATTGCAAATGGGGTATGTCCAGTCTTTTTTAGTAGCCATTTGGTCACAAACACTGGCCAAAGTTAGCGTTAGTATCTGTTTGTGTGAAAAATGCAAAAAACGCCAATTTTGGCCAGTGTTTGTGACTAAGTGGCTACTAAAAAAGACTGGACATACCCCGTTTGCAATACCTTGGGTTGTCTACTATTGCAAATGGTATGCCATCATAGGGGTAATTTTCATTCTTGGGCTACCATAGGGTCTCAAAGGCAACGTAACCAATCTGGCGAATTTTAATGTGAAAAAATGAAACGCAAGCCTTATATTTGACGCTGTAACTTTTGAAAACACCATAAAACCTGTACATGAGGGGTACTGTTGTACTCGGGAGACTTCGCTGAACACAAATATTTGTGTTTCAAAACAGTAAAAAGTATTGCAGCAATAATATCATCCGTGTAAGTGCTGTTTGTGCATGAAAAATGCAAAAAACTTCACTTTTACTGGCGATATCATTGTTGTAATACATTTTACTGTTTTGAAACACTAATATTTGTGTTCAGCGAAGTCTCCCGAGTAAAACAGTACCCCCAATTTACAGGTTTTATGGTGTCTTGGAAAGTTATAGGGTTAAATATAGTGCTAGCAAATTAAATTCCCTATACTTTCGGCATGGGTTGTCAGGCAGGTCCCGCTAATTGTAATTAATTAGGATACCTAATTATGTAAAAATATTACATAAATATATGTGTAGAATTAATATATGTATATATATACATATGTGTATATATACATATATATATATAATTTTTTAAAATATTTTTATTTATATATAGGTGTATATATTTAGTGATATATATGTATATATTTATGTATATAGATATATATATTATTTCGTTCTACGTGTATTTTGATATAAATATATATATATTAATATCACAATACAGTTAGAACGAAATAACAAACATCTATATATTTTTTTATTATTTATTTTTAATTATTTTTTTAATTTTATTTTTTTACGTATTTACATTTTTTTATATTATATATAATATATATATAACAATAATTATATATATATATATTTAATCAGTATTAGTCTACGTGTAATTTGATAGTAATATATATATAAATAATTATATATATTAATATTTAAATACACTTCGTGTATGTGTAAATGTGTGTGTGTGTGTGTGTGTATATATATATATATATACTTAGATCATATATATATAATATATATGATCTAAGTATATTTTATATTTAACTGTAATTTTTTTTTTTTACTAATATTTTATTTATTTTTACAGGACAGGGGGCAGAGACAGTGTCAGCCAGTGATTTTACATCACTGGCTGACACACAGGATCAGTGATCACAGTGACTGCCTGTCACTGTGATCACCTCCTGCAGATTGGGTAATTGGCCACAGGGGGGAGTGCCTGGGTGGTACAAGCACTCCCCCCTTCCAATCTGCAGGGGGATCTGTGTGCCAGTTACATGTGTCAGCCAATAGGCTGACACATGTAACACTGATCGCAGTGACAGGCTGTCACTGCGATCAGAGCGCTCTGAGATCGCAGTGACAGCCTGTCACTGCGATCTCAGAGTAGCAGATCGCGGTCACTGACCCCAGGGGGACTGCCTGGGGGGCCAGGTAAGTCCCCCGACCGCGATCTGCACAGTAGCCGCTGGCCACGTGTGTCAGCCGATTTGAAATCGGCTGACACACGTTAAAAAACTGATCGCAGTGACAGCCTGTCACTGCGATCAGTGACTGCAGATCGCGGTCACCGGCCACAGGGGGGGTTGCCTGGGGGGCCGGGCATCCCCCCCGACCGCGATCTGCAGCGGGCGAATAGCGCCGGCCACGTGGGCGGCCATTAAAGTGAGGGCGTACTATTACGCCCGCCGGCGTTTAGAGCCGGCTCCTGCAGGGCGTAATAGTACGCCCTCCGGATTTAAGGGGTTAAAAAGTAAACTTAAAAGTAGTGGGAGTTGGCACCCAGACCACTCCAATGGGCAGAAGTGGTCTGGGTGCCTGCAGTGTCCCTTTAACTGCATTCACTGAGCACTTAGAGTTAATTTCAGGGTATTTTAAGTCCATACACAAGCGCTAAAGCAGTGTTCACTGTAAGGGCAGTCCTGATTGATTGCTTGGCGCGCGTGCACAATGGGATGACATTTGGTTTGTGATGCTGATTGTGTCATGGACACGTCCATTTGCAGGCCTTGACCTCACCCACCCCATATCAGACCTGTGGGGGTCTAAAAATGATATGGTTTGAAAATGCATGGTGTCTACTTAAAGCAAAACAAGCCAGGCAGAAAATATGTAAACAGAAAGCAAGCCAAAATACCAAAAAAGAACAAGAACTCATTTGATATATTTAGAACAATAAGTACACTGGCTGTGCATATTGCACAATTGCAGTAACACGGGCTGGGGAGCTGAACAGACTAAAGAAAATCTATTCATTTTAAACTTGAACCTGTGGCAGCCTCAGCTGGATCTCACTACAACCGCCATTACCAGCAGGTTGAGCCCATGTAACTTTTTTTTTAATTGACGGATATACAAACTTTTTTTTTTCTGGCTTTGGAGAGCACTTGAGAAAAATAAAAAGTTTGTAAATCTCAGAGGAATTGCTGTAATGGATGGCAATTTAAACAATCTGAAATTTCAAATGCTTAGCACAGTCTGAGGAAATATTATACCTGTGTTTTAGTTCAACAGCTATTTCAAAGTATGTTTGCACATTGCTTTTAACAGCATGTATGCAGTCAGAGTTAGCGAAACATGGAATCATTTTAAGTGGACCTATCATCTTGAAAAATGTTGCATTAATCAACAAAGTATTCACCAAATCTACATGTTCACATGAGTAGTAGTGCACAGATGGGGAAACTTTTAGTTAAGCCAAAAAAAAAAATATCATGGTAATAATAATATTGAAAATAATGAAAACAATTAGATATTAATTGCTTTGTATTATCTTCAGAAACTGTGAACCAGTCTTTATATAAAGTTCTAGCTGCCCTACAGAGACATGTTCTTAAAAACTCAACTAGGCTTATTACAGTCCTCACCACCTCCATCTTATGGCTTTAGGGATTCAGGGACTTGTTTATGATGCACATATACAAATGTGGGACCTATATCACTGTCTGTGGGAGTGTGCCCTGATTAAGTCCTTTTGGTAGAAACTAAAGCAGTACCTAAACACTAAGCATGCCCCCTCTGTCTTTCAAACCTGGTTAGCTGTTACAGAGAGCCCCAAATTCCTACACACATGAAAGTCGTACATCTTTACCCTGGATAATTCCTTTCGGTCTAGGACAGGGGTAGGCAATCTATGGCACTCAAGGTGCCTTAGCACGGCACTCAATGCTGCTAAAGCCACACAGGCTCAGGCCTATTAAGAGATATCTGCTAGTGCAAACATGTGGTGAGGGACAATCCTCAATTTATGCATCTCAGATAACTTACTCCCAGCACTTGTGAACAGGAAACCAAACTGAAGGTGAGCAGCCAGCAGCAATCGCAGCTTCCTTCCTTACCCTGTACCTGGCCATCCCAGTCCTCACTGGACCCCAGGGATGGCCAGGTATAGGTCTCACTGCTAGATATACACAGAGCTGCAGAATAAACCCCCCCTCATACAAATAATACAAAAAGCCCACACACAAACACACACACAGTCCCCACAAACACAACACTACTGATAATCCAGATGCATGCACACAACCCCACAAGCAGTCTCTCACATGCAATACCACTAGCAGCTCCACACATACACATCACCAAACACACAATGTGACATATCATCCACACACACATTTCTAGAAGCAGCCCAAATACGCAGTCCACATTGATATGTATCATACACAATACTACAAACTACTCTTGTACAATATAACAGCCTACAAATCCTCAAATACAATGCTACTTAGGAACTACAGCACCCACAAATAACACAAAAAGAATACAGCAACATACACATCTCAATTTAATAAAAATAGGACTAGCACCCCAAAGGACCTCAAGATCTTGTTTTGGCACAGTACTAAAAAAAGGTTGCCTACCCCTGGTCTAGGATTAGGACAACCCTGGTGTACACGGCATGGTTCTCAGCTGAGGTGGTAGTGGGTTGTGACCTTTTACAAAATACTTCTTGAGACATCAATTATTCATACACACACACTACCTTTATGGGTGTAGGGTGGACGGGGGGAATCCTGTGGTACTGTCAAATTACTACAGTTCATATTTTATTTTGCTTTTAGGCTTCATTATTTTTCAACTTTTACGTGACCAGATCTTGCTTATGGTTTGGTGCCTGAGTGAATGTCCCATTCCCCAAGACAGAGACATACCTATAACATAGCTCCTCCAAACTTTAAAAGGACACTATAGTCACCTGAACAACTTCAGCTTAATGAAGCAGTTTTGGTGTATAGATCATGCCTCTGCAGCCTCACTGCTCAATCATCTGCCATTTAGGAGTTAAATCCCTTTGTTTATGAACCCTAGTCACACCTCCCTGCATGTGACTTGCACAGCCTTCCATAAACACTTCCTGTAAAGAGAGCCCTATTTAGGCTTTCTTTATTGCAAGTTCTGTTTAATTAAGATTTTCTTATCCCCTGCTATGTTAATAGCTTGCTAGACCCTGCAAGAGCCTCCTGTATGTGATTAAAGTTCAATTTAGAGATTGAGATACAATAATTTAAGGTAAATTACATCTGTTTGAAAGTGAAACCAGTTTTTTTCCATGCAGGCTCTGTCAATCATAGCCAGGGGAGGTGTGGCTAGGGCTGCATAAACAGAAACAAAGTGATTTAACTCCTAAATGACAGTGAATTGAGCAGTGAAATTGCAGGGGAATAATCTATACACTAAAACTGCTTTATTTAGCTAAAGTAATTTAGGTGACTATATTGTTCCTTTAATATCCACAATGCATTTTCACCTCTTCCTCGAGAGGAAGGGGGCAGGGGTATTGGGCGGGGGTTTGCTTGGATCGGAAAGGAGTTAATTGTTAATTGTTTAAGGGTTACAATTATTTCCCTTTGTAATTGAGAATGTTATATTCAAAATGTTTGGAATGTCATATAATGCTTACTGTACATTGATACGGTAACATTGCACATCACGATTTGGCCTACCTTTTCGTACTGATTATTACCTATTGCTTGTTATCAGTGCAATTAACAATAACTGGCATTAATAATAAAAATTCATTATCATGGAGTCATTTTTTATTTGCTTTTTATGTTCTTTATTTTAATGCATTATCTATATAATGTTTCGAAATATATGTTCTTCCCTGTCAGTTAAGATACTTTAAAGCTATATAAAGCATAATAAATGTAAAATGACTATAAAGTCATTTTCTTTTATGATGTTGTGGTGAATGTATACTTATATTTAGTTGGGATTTTGATTTAAGCATTATATTAATAAAATGAATAGATTCGCATTTTTAAATACAATGACTGGTGTATTTGTTCTTGTGTTTTTGATTTGACAAATGTACTACATTTCTCATCTGAAATACAAAGCATTCAGTGTAGCATTTTCTAAGCACTGGGTGAAAATCAACACAAATTCTTATTTTTTCTTAACAAAATAAATAAACTTGCTACACAATGTCAGAGTACCTGCAGGTTCCAAGAGGTTACACTTAAATTAAAAAAGGATTTAACATTTTATAAATTAGCATTAATATAATGTGGAAATAAATGTATATATCATTACAGCCATCATTTCCCATGTGTTATATTTCTGTGCGTGTGCATTTTTTTGTTGTTGCATATTTCTCACACTATAAAATGTTTTTATGTGTGTGAAAATATATATATTTTTTAATTATCGGGCAAATGTTTCCATTTGTAACTAAAGGAAAACTATTACTTCCCTCGATTTTTGAAATTATGTAATGTGTGAAAACTAAAACAAAATGTTGAAATCTACACCTTTTTATTCTGCAACTCCACCTTAGCCTTCTGTCAATCATTATAAGAAGCTCTGTCCCTTGCACCTGTCAGTCAGCATAGAAAAAGCATTCAGTGAAGATACAAAATGAAACAATGTTTCTATTTCTCCTCTTCATTTGTAATATTTGCCCTGGCTTTGCCTTGTCTGAACTGGATGGTTAACACACATTCTAAGTGATTTCCAATGTTTTATGCAAAGATAGAAATTCCAGAGATGTGGCAGTTCCTCTCTAAAGAACATGGTGGCCCTTTGAAAAAAAACACATTCTGTTTATTTAAATCCTATTTGTTAGCTTATTCCAAATGTCTTTGTATAGTCTTTATTTAAAATGATACTAGAAGAATTAAGAAAAATGCACGACTTGAAGTGTAAATATTCCACACAATAAACAAAATAAAAATGCTAAACTAGTGCATTAAATTTTTCTTTCAATCAGTGAAGCTTTATATAAATGTTTCAGCTTCATCTCAACATATCATGTGAGTGTCTTTTACATGTCTGCAAGCTATTCTTACTTGATTATACAGCAATATTTGCTTGACAACACCTGCAGGTATTTAAAGCTTAGCTCATGACCGTTTGTCAGAAATGTCTGCTAGTTGTCGATTTACAAAGATTATGAGTACAGCTATCATTCAACACTTTGGTTTTATCTAACATTCTGGGGACTGGCTACTTCTTGTTTAAACAATTACTTTTCATAGATTCCTCTGTGCATGAGCCCAGTCATGTTCGATGTAAAACCACACTTGGCAATCACCTCTCCTTGACTGGTAATGAAAGCATGTGCAAATTTTCTTGAATAGACAAGCATGTGTACAAAAGGCAGAGGCATGTTCAATAGGCATGACGTGAGTATGGTGGAACATATGCATTTAAAGAACAAAATCTTCAATGGGTTCAATTCTGATGAAAGAGACTAGCTTTCAAATCCTCGAGAAGATTCATTTTAGTGTAAAGGCAAATGTATATCCCAGTCTATGCATGAATAAAAAAGAATATACTGTGTTTTCTGTAACACAAGACTTGGGGATCTTTTCACTAAACTGTGAGGGTTTATCCTCTAAACAGTAAATTGAGGTGAATTGAGTCGCTAAATGCAAAATTCAAGGTCATTTTTTTTTGCAATTTAGTTTTTAATTCTCTGCAATTCTATGTTTCGTGAATACACTCTTGAGTTGGGGTGCGTTATCATTATTATTATTATGATTTATAATACACAAACATTTTAGATAGTGTTGTACAAAAAAATATTATTTTTTTTTAATTACATTTTGCACGAAGATCTTTGCAGACTGTCAGGCTAGTTCACTAAAGTGAAAATTCTAAGTGAATTAAAAATGAATTTCAAATTTAAAGCTAAAATAGCTGGAAAAAAACCCATTAAAAATAATTAAAGTCAGCTATCCTTTCAGTTTGACGACTCTGACCTTAAATTTGAAATTCACATTGAATTCACTTTAAATTCTCACTTTAGTAAATATACCTGTATATGTGTCTTGTTGTTGATAAAATATATTTTACTGGGAAGGTTACAATTAGATTTCTCTTTTTTTTAAGTATATCCCTGAAAACATATTTGGCAAATACATTCTGAAATAATGACTAAAAAATTACCTGTATTTTATGCAACCATGAATCAGGCCGATTGTTATATTATTCTTTCAATGAGTTTGGAGAATGTTGTTGAAGCAGCATAATTAAGAGAAAATGTAAAGTATGACTTAATAATACACCATATTCCGTATTGTTAAATGAATGTAAAACCTGTTGCACACGTGAACAAGCAAATGATCCAAGACATGTTAACAGAAAATATGGAAAGTTCCCCAATGGAAATCCAAAAACAAACAGCTTCTAAAGAAACGTAAGTTGAGGAAAACATTCAGTTCCTACTTTGGACATATGCAGAAAGCTTGTACAATTCTGAAATCTACCACTGCTTAGGCATGCTGTTATTTTGCATTACATAAAACAAAATGAGAACTTTTAAATAAAGCCCAATTCAACTTTCCTGAGGTATTTGGCTTCCCCTTTGGTGAAGTTACTAGTGTCTACCATATATATATATATATATATATATATCAATAAAGCGGTAACTACTCCGAATTCTTTTTGAGCATTCCTTCATTAAACCGATGTTTGTATACTACATACTTCAACAAACACAGAAAGACTTTTATTTTTTTATCTGGTAGGGATCAGTCTGTCAAATGCCACCCCTTCAACTCTCATGCTCTGTACCTACATGATTGAAAACTACAGTGCTTCTGGACTTCCATAGTACAGAAGATTGGATTTAGCCGGGTAACTCTACTTACTGTATTTGGAAATTATATTCGCATGCAGACATCGTTTTTATTTTCTGGTGATGCTTTTAGTAATGCGCATATGCATTTTACTATTTTTATTTTTATTCTATATCTATAACAATATATATATATATATATATATATATATATTTATTTATTTATTTATTTTTTTTATTCTATACTTATATTTCAATACTATACTTCATTTCACCAGATAAGTCAATAAATATTTTGAAGTTGAGATCTGTTCTCTATTATATTATACCATTCCTTCATCTTTCCAGCCTTGTGTTTAAGAGCTTTTCAGAGAAGCTCCCACCCTACCTGAGCAGAATGCTCTCCCCGGCTGTTCACACCTCCAATAACCTCCGATCCAGTACCGGCACTTTATTTAGTCTACCTCAATACAAAAAAAAAAGCGACCCGATCCTCCTTTTCCTACATAGCGCTGCAATTATGGAACGACCTCCCGCACACTTTCAAATCTTCCCCAAGCCTAAAATCCTTTAAGAGATCCCTCTCTACATACCTCAAAGCAGAATGCACGTGTCATGGTTGATTATATATTTCCTGCCTGTTCTGTTAAATTTTGTATTTATTGTGTATTAATATTGTTTTTGTACTTTAATGTACCCTAATTGTAACAATGCAATGTTTTGTGGACCCAGGACATACTTGAAATCGAGAGAAATCTCAATGTATCTTTCCTGGTAAAATATTTTATAAATAAATAAAATAAATAAATAAATTTGCATCATAGATATCTTGACTCTTTCGGTTCAAGGTAACTAATATAACACTGCATTATCCATCTCCCCGGTACTGAAACTGTTAAGTACAAATGTAAAAGATATGCTCAATATCTCACTGTGTGTGGCAGTTTATTCTTCGATCCATGCTGCAATTATCTCTTTACAAGGCCATGACAAAACATTAATCTGATAAAACATGACAAGACGCTTTATTTGACAGCCCTACGAGAAAGTGAGATAATTATTGCAATTCGGAATTTCATGTTTTGCAAACAGAGATTCAAGTTTCATCATGACTCCGCAAGCAATTTTAGGATTAACTATTGTGATGACGAGTTCCCAAAAGAATTATAGCTTTTACAAACCATAATCAGAGGTGAATATGTGTAATTGTACAAGGTGAGGAAATGCTGGAAGTTAGCTAAACCACATTCTCGTTCACAAAAACACAATTTCCTGCCAGTCGATGACTGATACTTCATCAGTCACTCACTAGAGATTCTGTATGCTGGGCTATGGGGAAAACTGAATTTTTAGAAGACATGTCCTGTCAGAGATCACACACCTTATCTGAATATTACATGGTTATCACCCAAACAAGTGCTGAGTTATGGGTATCAGTCATTGATCAAAATACAGATATATGAAACTAAAATGCAATGTATTCAGTATGTATTTTAGTTCTCGTATTGATTGAATGTGGTTTATGGCTTATTTTAATGGTTATTAATTTGAAACATCAAAATGCTTGTAGCTTTAAAACCTAGTGATAGACAGGTCAAGACGTATTTGTACATCCACTATTTCTCAATTAAGTGTACATGCTATATCAAGACAAGTACATTATATAATGATTGTGTGACATTGCCTGGTCTGTACACAGGAGAACCACTGGTGACTATTTCTGACGTAATGTAACTAGACTATATCCTGGCCTTTCAGTGGATATGAATGTCTGCTAGATTGATCGGTCAGCCTCAGGGCCGCCACCAGAAATTTTAGGGGCCCCTGACTCAGCTCAGGGTCTGGGCCCCCCAGGGCCGCCTCCAAGCCAGCCCACAAGGTCCGCCTCCAAATCCCACCCACAGGAATACACACACAGACACAAACACACACACTGATACAAAAGGACACAGATAAACACACACACACACACAGATACATACTAACAGACACACGTACTGAAACAGACATACAAGCATATATAGGCATACATACTGACACACACATACTGAGACATACACACATATACAGACACACAGGCATACATAGTGACAGACAGACAGACACATACTAACATACATACAGACACACATGCATAAGGACATACAGACACATACATACATACTGACATACATACAGACACCGACATACATACACGCATACATACATGCATACAGACACTGACATCCATACACACAGACATACATTCATAATGACATACAGACATACATTCATACTGACATACATTGATACCGGCATGCATACAGACATACATACTGACATAAAGGCCCGGACTGGCCATCGGGCATATCGGGCAAATGCCCGGTGGGCCGCGATGGCCGTGGGGCCGAGGCCGGCAGGGGATCTCCCTGGCCAGCCCCTGCAGGGCCAGCGCTATCTGAGCACCGGCCCTGCATAGTGCCTCCATGGGCCTGTGGGGAGGAGGCAGGAGAGAGGACCCGGCAGAGCTCTAACCAGCAGCTCTGCCGGGTCCTCTCGCGGGATTCTGAGCGTTGCCGCGGTTACCACGGCAACGCTCAGATCTCGCGAGAATGAACTCTAACCTGCAGGCTAAAGTTCACTCTCACCACTGGACCACCAGGGAAGGCAGCACCCTCCATGACAGCATGCCCCCCCCCCCCTCATGGCAACAAGGCTACCCCTCCTCCCAGGCTAAAGGTAAGAACTTTTTAAATTATTAATAAAAAATATATTTAAAATAATTTCTAACTGTAGCCCCCAGACACACACAGCACCCCACACACAGCCCCAGACACGCACAGCACCCCACACACAGCACTGAACACACACCACAGCACCCAGACACACACACAGCACCCCAGACACACACAGCCCCAGACACACCACAGCACCCCACACACACACAGCCCCAGACACACACAGCACCCCCACACACAGCACCCGCACACACACACAGCCCCAGACACACACAGCACCCCCCACACATACACCCCAGACACACACAGCACATACACACACACAGCACCCCCACAGACACACACAGCACTCCCCAGACACACAAACAGCACCCAGACACCCACAGCACCCCAAGACGCACACAGCGCAGACACACACAGCACCCAGACACAAACAGCACCCCCAGACACACACACAGCTAGACACGCACCACACACACAGCACCCCACCCACACACACACAGCACCCAATTACACAGCACCGAGACACAAACAGCACCCTCAGACACACACAGCACCCCCAGACACACACAGCACCCAGACACACACACACAGCACCCAGACACACACACAGCACCCCACAGACACACACAGCACCCCACAGACACACACAGCGCACCCACAGACACACACAGCACACCCAGACGCACACACCACCCTCAGACAGACAGCACCCTCACTCCCACACATATACAGCACATATATATTATATAAAATAACCCTTAACAGACAAATAAAATTAGAAACCCAGAATGTGACGGCAGATAAAAACACCCTTACACACAGCACTCGTCTTACACAAACACACTGCGCACCTCACACATACAATACGTCCAAATATATATATATATATTATATATATATATATATATATATATATATACATACACACACACACTACAGCGCCCCTCACAGTGCACCACTACACACATTACGCTCCAGATACACGCTAGATCCCTTACCCTATATGCACTCTTAATCCTCTACACACACACACACACACTTCTATACACACTCTGGGTCCTTTACACACTAGATCTCTTACACACACACTGCACCACCTACACACACACTACATTCCTTGTAAGCAAATACATACAACATTCTCTAAACACACCCTCTCTACAACCCCTACACACACTACGTCACCTATACACACACACTACTGCCCGTATGCACACACTCGCTGCATCCCCTATAACACTATGCCCCTATACAAGCACTCTCTACAGCCCCTAGCCACACATATTACACCACACATATTACACCTATTTACACAATACCACACCACACTCTACACACAGGCAATCTCACAAGCATGCGCCAAACACATGCACCATACACTTTCCTGGCCCTTTTGTCCTCTGGTATCCCACTTGTGGAGACACCAGAGACAATTTAAAAGCAAACACAGCGCAAGCATGTTATTACATTTGCTTGCGCTGCGCAGAACAAATACAGGGCCTTTTTCTAATGCTAGAGCTCTTCAGCGGGACTCTGTGCATTGAACCAACATGCTCACTTTCAGAAGGGGCGTACTTGTCATTAGTGATGACAAAACACACCCTCTCTGGCCCTGCCCCCTCCTTGGGGGGCTGCTCTAATTGAAAAATGCCCGGGCCTAATTTTTTTCCCAGTCCGGCCCTGGTCAGGCAGGTAAATTGCAATCAATAAAGTTACTTAATTATGTAAAAATATTACATAAATATGCACAGTCTACGTGTATATTTATGAAATTATTTATGTAATTATGTATATATATCAAATTATTTGTATTCATTTATATATATATATATATATATATATATATATATATATATTTTAATTCTAAGTGTCTTTTGATATAGATATATATATATCAAAATACAGTTAGAATAAAATTACATAATATAATTTTTTTATAATTTACATTTTATTTACTTATAATTTAATTACACACATATAAATAATAAGTATTTTTATATTAAAATAATATATATACACATACATATACACACACACATATTTTTTATTTATTTTTTTATTTAAAAAAATTAAAACATTACTTTTCAGCAGCAGGGAGACTGCCTGACAGCCCGGGCAGTCCCCCTGCAGGCAGATGCAAAGACACCTATTGCGGCCATGTGACCACTCTTTCAGAGCGATCACATGGCCTACGGGGACCTAATTTGCAGAGGGGGGACTGTCAGGCAGGAGCAACACTGATCGCCGGCGGGGAAACGGCAGCGATCGGGTAACTAATATATTTGCCGCGGACGTACTAGGTCCTTAAAGGGGTTTAAAGACATTTCAAAAAGCAGAACTGGTCACAGTGTGTGGAAAAACCATTTAAAGCAATAAGGTTTAGATAAGTCAGACCCTCATACGGAGTATGAGAAATTGATGCACAAGGCGTAACATCATTTAAATTACCTGGATCAGTCCCTGGAGCTCATCTTCTGTTAAACAGTCTACAGGATCATTGCTGGAAGCCACGTGCTCCACCGCCACTTTTCCACTCTCTGAGAAAAAAAATAATTTGCATCCCACTCTTTAAACTGACTTACAGACAATCAGCCCAGTGCTCTGCAACATCAAGGTTCACATTTATAATCTACTTGTTTAAAAATAACTGATGTCACCAAGAAAGGACACAGAACAGGTAAAACTGATATCTGGACGCCCAGGTAATGGTAATAACTCTGCGTCGACTTTTAATGCAGATGTTTAAAAGGAACACTATGGCGTTAGGAATACAAATGTATTCCTAACGCTATAGTGTTGCAATAACTATTTAGATATCCACTTCTCCACAATGATATTAAACCTACTTTATTTCCCCTGGCGCGTCACTCCGTAGGAAAGCACTGGGAGGCTAGTGTGCATGCATGGAAAGTTACAGTGCAGTGCAATCAGCATCTCCTCATCGAAATGCATCGCTATAGGGAGTGCTCAGTGTCTCAATGCAGAGCCAAACCCAGGACGTCCCTCCAGTTGCTGTCTGAGTTACTGCCACTAGAGGTGGCGTTACGCAGGAAAGTAAACACTGCTTTTTCTCGGAAAAGGCAGTGTTTACACTGCTCAGCCTGCAGGGACAGGCTCTGTGCCTCAGAACCACTTCATCAAGCAGTAGTGGTTGAGGTGCCTATGGTGTCCCTCTAACCCTGGCTAGATGGGAGTGACATACCCTATGGGCTTCCAAGGAAGAAGGTCAAAGAGTGAATTAGTAGTTATTAGAGGAATGGGAAACGTTCAATTCTATGGCTTCATTCCTCTAATAGGGTACAGTCACTTATCAAACTGTAAAGTTGGTCCTACACACAAAAAAGTATGGATGGAGAATACAGTTGTAACAGACATGGGAATTCTCAAGTCGAAAGCACTTTGACTGTAGGTGTGCTTTCCAGTCTGTGCCCGCATCCCCACTTACCCGTGTCCCGTATCTCTATCTTTTTTCGATCTGTACATTTCAATTGACCTTTTTAGCAAAATATTTAGGTATGTCAATTCCAAATAGCAGTTTCTCCCATTAGAAGAAAAATCCAGAGTGAGATCACAAAAATGCAGTTCCATCTCACTTCGTAAAAATAATATTTATCCTTCACCAAAGCACAACAGATGTACAATCTAGGCTGCATTACAATATATGCATGATTTATTATTTAGATGTTAAACCTCTACCTTTCCCAAAACCAAGATAACAGTAAAGATTGAATGGGAAATGTGGTCACGTATCAGACTAATAGGAACATAAAAATTAAAAAGGAATATTTTATTTTCCACGTATTTTTCAAATAATAGATCTGACCTGCTGCAAAAATAACAGATATTGCATTCTTTCAGCTAAACGTATAAATCTTACCAAAAATCACTAAGAGTATTTTATGAAAAGCATCAGACAGTGCTTTTTGAACAGCGTATTTCTGCAGTTTACCACTTTTCATGAGAAATTCCATTGGATCTGAAAAATGTAAAACATTTTCATTGCTAGGTTAATCAAAGCATATTATATGGAACAAGTGCTAATTGGAAGATGTGTTAAGCAATGATTTCCATGGTAACTAGAATGAGATTGGCTTGGCAGGGAGAGTTAATATCACACGACTAGCTACTAATGGCATGGATGTATTACATGAATTTAATTGCAATTTGAGGACATAATATTTTAAGATAGGATTTCAGGATTTAATGAAAAGCTACTTAATGCCATATAATGAAGAGGGGAACTACTCTCATTGTTCCCACAGTGCACCAAAAAAGAATAGGCACCCCCCGATCACTGGTTTGGAGAGTCCACAAGTGCCACTGTATAGTCGAAATAGTAGGTTGGAGCACGCAAATGTTCTCATAAAGTGCAAACCTTTATAGGGACCGCAAGCTGAAAATTGCAAAGTTTTGGCCAATAAATTAAGACTTGTCCACATCTATTGTTGGCTGAAACCTTGTCATTTACTGCTTGTTGTTCATATTAAATCCTGCCTCTCATAAGAAGCTTTGAGTGACCGGACCTTCTATTTTGAAAGACTAGTTAATGACTTGTAAATGGAAAGAGGAGAATGGGTCAATCACATGCAGGGCTATTAAATAAATTGAGAATTGAACAGGGAACTGGAAGTTTTAGGTCATAATAAATGATATGGAAAAGTTTATGCGTTTCAGAATTTAGCTACAGCGGCCTAAAATTGAAAATGCTTTTATTAGGTCTCCATTTAGTAAAAATTTGATGGCAACAGTATTTCCCTTTGAACGAAGAATAAGAAATGCGATTAAAATATTTTCTCTCTTTTATTTAAAGTAATGGCAATTTTTATAGAACACAATGCTTCTGACTGAGCCAAGCCTATCTAAGTGCCAGCAGGTCACCTGCATGAAGGAAAGGCAAAGCCTACTTTACCAATTAAACATACCGTTTGATTTCTCCACGTCTTCTTCAGCAACCCCCACTCCTCTGCTGCAGACATCATAGCCAGGCAGCATCACTTCCAAAACACACATGTATCTCACCTTCCTCTGCTCCTGTGTATCACACTCATCCTCTAGTTCGTGGAGGCCAGAGATATTCTGGAGCTGAAGGTAGAGTGTACAGATGTGGAACAAGGTTTTTGTCTAAGTATTGCATTGATCTGTCATTAAATGGACACTGTAGTCACCAAAACAACTTCAGCTTAATGAAGTAGTTTGGTATATGGAGCATGCCCCTGCAGCCTCACTGTTCAATCCTCTGCGATTTAGGAGTTAAATCACTTTACTTTCTGTTTATACAGCCCTAACCACACCTCCCCTAGTTGTGACTGACACACCCTGCATAAAAAAAACAATTGTTTCATTTTCAATCAGATGTTAACTTGCTTTACAAGGTTTTAGCTCCTGCTCTGTCAATTGAAGTGTAATCACATACAGAAGGCTCCTGCAAGGTCTAGCTAGCAAGCTATAAACAGAGCAGGATATAAATAAAATTCTAAATTAAACAGACTGTGCAATAAAGGAAGGATAAACATTAGATGATTCTTTACAGGAAGTATTTAGGAAGGCTGTGTAAGTCACATGAAGGGAGGTGTGACTAGGGCTGCACATACAATGTGATTTAACCCCTAAATGATAGAGAATTGAGGAGGAAGACCGCAGAGACATGATCTTTACACCAAAGCTGCTTCATTAAGCTAAAGTTGTTCTGGTGATTATAGTGTCCCTTTAATGTTTTAACAAATGAAAAAATACCAATACAATACACCCATTTGCATTCATGATTTAGACTACGGTGGACTATGTAAAAAAACTAACACTCCAAAATCTTTAGGGTGTTTTCATGTGCAGGAGAATTCTTGAAGGGAATTCTTGAAGTCCTTCCTTTCCCAAAACAATGTCTTCCTTATACGAATAAACAAAAAAAAGTGCGAAAGAGGTGGGAAAATAACTAAATTTCAAGCAGGATAATAGAGTAAAAGAGACCTGTCCATAATCGAAATGTTTAAATAATCATTCAAATTTTATGATTGAAGTTTTTCAAGTGTATTCTTCCAAGAAGCGACATATTTTGAGTTTACACTATTCTGCGTTTAACTTATACAGCTTCCTCCTGGGAAAATCTGCCGCTTCAGTTGCAGTATCAATGAATCCCTGTATCCTTATTAGATAAAGCTGACGTATAAGACATGCAATAAACACAATTTATCTTCAAGACTACAACAACATTATTGTATCTATTCCAAAAATGTTACGTCTTCATAGTATTAATGCAAAACAGCAGCATTAAAAGGGAACCTCTAGGCGACATAACTTAAAGGGGCACCATAGTGTCAGGAACACAAATGTGTATTCCTGACACTATAGGTCTAAAATAACTGTTTAGGTGGTTGGCCCTGCTAACCTCAGGGTTAGAAAGGTGATTTATTCATCTTTTTCCAGTGCAGTGTGGGGCTCCTCGTGTCTGGCCCTGTCCTTGATCTGCCTCCTTTGCTGACATCATCAGATTTGATGATTTCAGCCAATCCGGTGCTTTCCCATAAGAAAGCGACAGTCCGAGGCTTCCTGTTTGAAGAATCTGAGAGCAGCATTAGAGAGAAGACTTTCACAAACGGTTTAACTTCTAAAGGTAAGCCGGTGCCAGTGAACTCCTGGCACCATAACAACTTTACTCTGAAGTTGTTATAGTGTCCAGAGTGTTACATTAATAAATAGTAATAGATAACAACAGTACTCAATCTAGACTTGATCTACGGCTTTCATACTGCCCTGAATCATGTCTGCAGGGAGATCGTCTCACAAATAACAAGGACTTACTGCAATTATTCTCTTGGACCAGCCATTGAACCCCAGGTAAAAGTTGGCCAGATCCTGGCACTTGCTGCTATTCAGTGCCAAGGATTTGTACTGAAATACTTTCTGTTTGTTGCAGACTCGCACCTAAAGAAAACGAGAACAAATGACAGAAACAAGAGCACAGCAGGTTACGTTCAGAATAAAAGCACATAGGGTCATCGGTGAACCCATTCCCCACCCCCACTATCCATGTCCCCATACATAGATACCCTGCACACACAAAGAACTGAAGCTACAATCCGTAGATACTCTATACTAGGTGGCACTATCAAATTCAGCCCGACAGGGGTAGCCACTCGTGTTCCATATTATATTATAGAAAGGGAGGAGAAGAGAAAAAAAATTAAAAGAGGAAGGGGGAGATCTAGTCTCTCCAAATATGTCACCTTGCGCAATAATTGCTGGATTGTATAAAGCATGTACTTCTTATGTATTGGTTTCCTGTTTTTACCATTTTTAAACCCACACCAGGTGCGTGATAACCAGTAGGCATGAACCTCCTTATTATAGAACCTAGGCAATGTCAATGCACATATTTAATGATGGAGAATATAAAGTCATAATTCAGCGTATTAAGCATCTGTAGCCTCAATATAAAAAAAATTACAAAAATTTCCTATTTATGTTCTTCAAATTATACATCAATCAACCTCTACAGATTAAACCTATAATCATTGTGTCCACTAATCACAGACCTAAACCTTCTTGTTAACCATATTTCCTGAATATTACCTGTGCAAATCTTAATATCATTAAAGTGGTATTTATTAGCCTTTGTCAAAGAATTATTCCTTTTAAAAATATCTTCAAGTGAATCTTATATCTCAGAAATTTCTATATTAGTACGTGTGCAAATTCCTTTTTCGTGCGTCTCCCAATTGTTAATCTTACATTAAAATTTTTTTTATTTTTTTTTAATTCTAGTACCTTGCTGTGCTTATAGCCATATATGATAAAACTAGGTGGCCTTCTACCTTACAGTGTCTAATCCATGCTCTCCAAGTTATGCATCAATCATCCTCAAAAGTTTAATGCTGTTATGTATAATTCATGCCCCTGCAGTCTAAATGCTCAATTCTCTGCCATTTAGGAGTTAAACGTAGCCTGGTTTATGCAGCCCTAGTCATATCTCATATACATGTGACTTGCACAGTCTTCCTAAACACTTCCTGTAAAGAGAGGTCTAATGTTTAAACTTCCTTTATTGCACATTCTTTTTAAGTTGGAATTACTTATCTCCTTCTCTGTTAGTAGCCTACAGGGGCCTCCTGAATAAAATTAAATTTTCAATAATTGAACAGGGGATAAGAACTTATACAGTCAACACTCTGTGCTGTAAATAATTTCTGGTTGAAAATAAAAGCACAATTTGTT